GAAGGTCACTTCATGAGCACCCCACTCGCCCGATCATAGATCGGCCTCTACTAACCATGATATTTATTTTTGAAAACTTTGTATGTCCTTATTCCGGTTATTAGCCTAGGTTACTATGTGATGCACACAGCATACAAGTATAGACCGGGTCGCTTGAATTGGAACAAAACATTTCGTGTTTGTTTTTGAAAGATGGTTTGCTACTCGCAAGTAGGCTTAAAATGCAGATTTTGCCACCCTCAGGTGGGCTTAGAAAAGATGGTTTTGCCACTATCTAGTGGGCTTAAAACAAATAGTTGATGATTTATTCCAATCCAAGTAACCCAACCTTCACCCACAGGCATTCAGGCAGTTATATCACATAAGCATATAGCCTCATGGTAAGCATGCTATTCATGGCAGTCACTCACACGCATGCAAGGATGCTAAAGCATAAAACTCACTGAGTACTCCAAGCCAAAACAAAAACTCATTAGAAATCATGCATGAATCCTAAGTGTATAGAGATGCCTAATGCAACATATGCAAGAATGCAAACTATAGCAGGCTCGGCTATTCTAAACATGGCATATGGAATGCTACAACTAACATGTATTCAACTTGGAATTGAAATACAAATGTAGTTAGTATGATGCGCCGAGCCCGTGCATGCAAAACAGATGAATGACGCAAACATGCTGTCATACTGTATGCTAATTGAAATATGCCCTAATCTAACCATCATAAGCAGGTAAATAAAAGGGAAGAAAGACGTGGGGTTGGAAGACATACATCACACTCACTCACACTTATTACAATTATGCCCTCGCACAGAGGGTCCGAATAAATAGTACAGTCCAAATATTACAGTCCGAATATAAACAAATTCCTAATTAATTTACAAATTAACTAAGAAAGCTATAAACTGGTATGCAAGTCAGGGACTGCCTTGACTTTGATGAATGATGCATGTCTGGGCTGCCTTGCGCGGAAATCCACTGAGATGCCCCGATTAGCCTCTTTTTTGTAATTTTTCTTGAAAAACGTGCCAAGCTCTGGAAGGTTGCTGTTTCTTGATTTGCTGCAACAGAGAGCAGGAAAGGGGCATGACAATGTATTTTCATAGATATATGCATGCCTCGATCCTCGTGCCACCAATTAGCATATCGATGCATGATGGCCGAGGAGTCGAAATGTGCAACTCAATATAGAATGAATGCACATATAAACATAACAAGAACCTAACTCCATCATGAATAATCCGGAGTGTCGGTGACTGGGAATTGAGACACGTTCCGTCACTCGGAGTACGAAACGTACCTCGTTTCCCGTGCCCGTCTAACTCCTATCCCGAACACGATGCAATATGCATGACATGCATGAAATGCAACTAAGATACAATCCTAACATACACAATGTTATGGAATGACATACACAATGCGATAAGGTAATACACAACCGAGCATACACAATGCTATGGATGAAATGGCATACGCGATGCAATAATGGGCTTACACCAACATGAGAGAGCCTCAGCCACACTCACATAGGAGGCCATTAGATGAAAACAAGACAACTCGAAATGCGTGCACGCATGCATGCAAACCGAGGACCGACCCTCAGGCACCGAAATGCCACTCTAATGAGACATGGCAAAGATATGGAAAATGATATGCAAACATGCAATTTTCAGTAGCAAAATGAGGGGTAAAACAGCCCCGAAACGAGGCGAAATGACATCCGATGCATGGAACAAGTCCCGAAACATGAATTTTGGCGCATGAAATGGCCTATAGCTATGCAATGCATGCATAATTTGAACATGAGATGAAAATACAGAAGCAAGGCAGCCCCTAGACAAGCATTTTTAACGTTCAAATCATGTCCAAACAGCAAACAAAAATAGGGCAAAACTAGCGTGCAAAAATGGCCCTAAATGTGAGATAATGAAGCAAGTGGTAGATGCAAAGCCCAAAAAGAAAAATGTTCTTCTACAACACTGAAGAGGGACCAAAAATATGACTACTTACAGTTTATGGAAACCTCCAAAACAATATACAAGTATGCTCAACATGCTATGCAAGGTAGGGCCCAAAAGAGGTCAAAACACGAAGTATACAAAACATTCATCAAACAGCCAAAGACCCTCAATAAAAAATGAAGAATGGGTCAAAATAAGACTGTTTTCAGTTCTGTAAAAATACCAAAAATAGAAGCATAATAGGCTAATAGATCATGCAAAAATGGGGACCAAAGAGGGATATAATGACAAGTGGCACATGGAGGTCCCAAACAGTAATGAACCATTCTTCAATGTTGAAGAGAGGCTCAAAATAAGCTCATTTACAGTTTACATCATGCTCCAAAACAGATCACACATAGGCTAAAAATACTATGCAAGATAACGGTATATGAGAAGGATAATGAAGCAAGTGAAAGATAGGGACCTCAAATGCCAAAATTCCCTTAATGAAACATGAAATGGAGCTCAAATAAAGCATACTTTCAGTTTTGGCGGAGCTCAAAACAACAAGCAAAATAGCTAAAAAAATGTTACAAAATTAGGCTCAAAAAGAGGGAATTGGTACTTACCCTTGGAGACAAGTCTTTAGCAACTCTTGGCTTGAGTTTGCAGCACCTCTAAGCTCTGGAGAACAACCTCAAACTGCTGGAGTGGAGGATGGAAGGGTAGGGCTTGGTGGTGTAGTGTAAAATGGTGTAGGGTTTGAAGAATGGAAGCTTGGAGATGGAGAGGGAGAGAGATATAATGCAAAGGGCTTGAAGGGAATTTTTCTAACCTTAAAACAAACCTGGCCAGCCCAGTATATGGACCAAAGAGGGGGGAAAAGGAGGGAAAGAAATGGGCGGAAAACAAGCCAAGTTTCCCCCCAAAAGTTGTCCCCCCGGATAGAGATTTTTGGAGGGAAAAAAGTGTATAACTGTAATGTACACAGGATG